AAAGGGAAATACCATTAGTGGAAATCTGCCATTAGACTTCGAAAATCAGTTAGGGATTGTAAATAACAAATGTAAAAGTGTGATCGCATGCAAAGCAAATTAATCTGTTTCAATAGCGATGCATGTGGTAAATGAGAACTCAGAAAGAACCATCCTCCAAAAGTAGAACCACATTTCCCTAGAACGCATCAAACACAGAAACAAACATTGAACACGGCAAGTATGGCACCGTAAAACCATGCAACAATCTTGATCGGGGGGCTTAATTTGCCAATAAACTCGTCGTATTCTATGAAACACCGATTATGAAATATATCACCTCAAATAAAAGACTATCAAGACTTCCAATGTATAACAAGCTAATTCGGATAGACCCAACACTAAAGAGAGGGAACGTAAAGATGGTGACATCTTCACATGGCGTAAGACCAGGAAGTCATTCTGATGTAGCAAATGAGAGACAATTTTATTTATGATAATATATCAAATAATGGAGGATAAGGAGCTTTAACTCATCAGCAGTAAGCAGGTTATGCCTTCCTGCTAGGAGCAACGAGTCTGCGGGGTTGGGAGGTGTAACTCCTATTCGTTCACCCACACAGCAGATTAAGCGTATGGTTACATCGATTGAACACACTCTTAGTCTATGTGAATATTCGTGAGATTAAGTACGAAAAAAAACATTGAGCAAGATGGAACGAACGATTGGTGAAAGGGAATTTGAGTAAGAAAATGATAGAAAAAGACAATATGGACAGGATAATGTAGTATTGTGAGCTATGGGTGAACAGCAAATACAAATCAAGAATCACGCAGGCCTGTTGACCACTGATAGTGAACGGTGCGCAAACTTCTTATCCAGAATAATCGTCTAGAAACCAGCTTCCATAACGAGGACGGCCATCCTTTGTGTGTGGTGCGGTGCAAACATGGAATCCGAACTGCCAAATCCGTTGGAAAGACTAACAAGATCCAAACTTAAAACATGAACCCATTTGCAAACACACCAAAGGTTTTGGAATACAGAAAAGGTTGACACGCACAAGTGTAAATTCTTCTTCGATGCAGTGAAGTCGAGAATAGTTCAACAAGTGCACAGGATGCGGACCACTCATTTGACACTATAACTATTATACACTGACAACCTTTGTACAGTTCAGTGACAGAGACCAAAATCCGTATAAAAATAAGTCTCCATGAACCGTTAGACTATGTGCATAGTGAATCTCGAACTCTCAGGTGAATATTCCCTAAAGGAATAATATTGGCATACCATATAAAACAGAGTGTACAGAGCACCGCAGTCTGCAAAATAAAGTAGTCGCTCAGGGCACGGTCACGGACGAAAGCTGAACTTCAAGCACTTACGCACTAATTCGTTCAGTATACTCTTTAGTTCAATGTGCAGATCAATGTACCCACAGCCAACCGTCTTCTATCGGTCTCTTCCTTACCAGAGAATGATCGAACAGTTCCTGTCATTTACAGCTAACCAACACCATAGTGCCAGGGATTACATGATGAGGCACCTTCTTGGCATTACGCAAAATGAGAAAGTTCACAGGAAAAATTATAGATCACCTCTTAGATAGGGGGAACTTGGCAGTTATCAGATAGATCATCGCTCAAATTTTCTAAATTCTGTCTTCGCATCGACTGGCATTATTGTAGTATAGCGGTACTTGACTTGTTCGAACGCGATTCCGAACTAAGATATTTGCAGTTTTATTTTTATGCTTTTTGGTGAACAGATGAGAAAATATTTCTAACTTAGCCTCACCTAACGAGTCCAAACCCCGTAAATTTCAAAACCGGCAATACATTGGATAAAAGAAAAAGAAAATCGGAAAAATTGCGATCATGTAAACCGTATTCCGGCCGTTACTGATCTGGAGCTTTTGCGCCACCTACATGATGGCTTTCCTTGATTTCAGTGAGCATTTCTGATCTGGAGCAAGCCGGTGACAGCGACCAACCATCGGCACCGCCACTGACAAAAAGCCATTATCAATAAATTTGTTGCATGGAGTTTGATAACACCAGAGCAGTCCTGCGGAGAACTGTAACGAAATGTGTGTGAATGGTGTGTGATAGAGAACAAATTAAAGGACTCATGTGAACGCGAATAAATGTTCGCACAAAAGTTATAACTAGTATATCGGAAATCGAAAAAAAATTGCATGGTTATCAGTATTTCCTATCCGAATTGTTTTTCAACCTGCGCGTGAAGAGTCTAAAGGACCTCAAACTGGGTCACCACACCGGAGTGGTAGCCACACACGTTGCACTAACGAGGACTGATATCTGATTGTACCAGAAGGCAGAAAAATCAACCGTACATTTCCGTATTCTGTATTCTCAAAAGTGTATCTCGTTCGATATTATTACTGCTGCCCAAAGCCGTTTTTCTGCCCAGACCGTGCGTTTAGTCTAGATTCACAGGATCGCTGTTTATTGCTAGCTATCGTCGTTAGACTTAGCTTATTTGTCCTATCTTATGCGTCGTTTTCTTGCAGTTAGCTGTGTATTGTTCACAGAGTCCTTAAGCGCAATTCAAAGTTCGTCCTACGTTATATCTGTTATCGTTCCCGTAACAAGGTTATTGTGACGAAAATATACTTCCTGGGTACAAGTATATGAATGAACGGACACAATATTACCGGATACGCATGCCTCGAGCGTCAGGAACAGCGAAACCAGTGTGCCTCCACGGAAATCTGGTCCAGTCATTCACATACTACTCATTATGGAATATATACGACGGTGATCGTATGGGCCGACGATCACTTCAAAATCTGTGACACATGGAAGTGATCAACGCTATAACTGACACAAGAGAGAGAAAGTATGAAGAAAACTGTTGCATGGACCAAAGCTAGATTGTAATCAAATTAGCTGAATAGTCCATCTGGCATGCGCTTTGCTCACCGAACACGTTTCCAAAACGGATCGAAGACCGTAATCAGAGCAGTTAAATGAAAGATCGAAAAAACTTTTCACCTTAAACCGAACTAAAATCACACTGTTCACATCGCGTGATCATTGTTCATGAATTCCATTGACAAACGTTGAGTTGTAATTCACTCAAGTTCACTACCCACCTCCCATACCAGTAATGGCCGAATGTCCTTGAACTTGCTAGAGAAGATAAATTACGCTTATCTCATCACCATGCCACAAAGAACAGTAAAAACGTTTGTAGTCGAACTCCACTGAATCCGGCTCAAATTGATACAGGTTCGCTGAACTCATACCTGTCCCATTCCTCCCGTGTGCGCATCGTTCATCTTGCGAACTAACTACTCTCACCAAAAATGATGGAACAAGCATACATCAACATATGCGCATACAACTATACGACGAAGACAGATATCAGCTCCGGCTCACTCCGATAGACAAGTTTTGCTACCTGGGCAGCTATATCTCACCTGGCGGACGCATCACAGACGAAGTGCTCGGCGCGCATACAGAAAGTTCGGTTGGCATTTGGTAACTTGAGAAATTTGTGGCGCCGTCGTGAAATCCGGCTGTCTGTGAAGGATCGAGTGTATGCCGCGACAGTTCGGCCAGTTGTGCTTTACGGTGCAGAGACTTGGCCAAT